TATGTTGTTTTGTTTATTTTGCTCCAAATGAAACTTTCCATGTTTGTAATAATTATTTTGACAAATTATACTACTTTATAAGAATCCAATTACTCCATGCATGAAAGCTTCTATTTTGTTGTTTTTGTTCCTCACTTAGATAATCAAACTAAATCGACGTCTGCAGCTTCTAGAAGAGGAAAACAAAGAGCGTGCTAAAAGAGAAATGGTCATGTATTCAATTACTGTAGCATTTTGGCTGCTTAATAGCTGGCTCTGGTTTCGCCGCTAGAGGTAACCTTAGCTCTCAAAAAATATTGTCGCAACAGCTGGAAATATAAAGAATTTGCAAACTTCTTGGTTTCTGTGTTTGCGTTGTATGCCATTTTATAGTCCATATCCTGAAAGGGCACCTCTTCCAGAAAGGAGGGGGAAAGACTCCTGTAAAAGAAGTAAAGGTATAGCCTGTTACGTGGCTGTGCTCACTTTTAACCAGTCCCGCAATAACACCTGCTCAGAATTCTCCCTCTGCATGTTTTGTGAATGAATAGGCTCTAATTTGTTTTTTAAAAGGAATTAATTTTTTGCCTCATCAGTCTGCACAAGTAATTCTCTTAATGGAAGAGGGGTAGAGAATGGATTTAGAAAAGTATTTGTGAAAAAAATATTTTGTCCTGTTTCTCAAACACTGTTAAACAGTTGTTAACAGACATGTTTGCACCCACATTTCATCGTTAACACTTCTGAAGTCATGGTCTGGAATCAGAATGAATAAAATCAAGCCACCTTATGTTTCATGATCACCTTTATTAAAATAATTCCTAACATTTTCAGTTTATCTAATATGTGTGTAAAATGTGTGTTCTTGTTTTTATTTTAGTTTTTCTGATGGTTTTCTATAAAGTACATTTTTACTAAGTTTATGTGTGAATGATTTAAAGAACTACAGAATAAGGTACAATTGTAGTGTATTTAATAAACATTCAACGAAAGCTATGTTTGTTTATTGAAATATTTTGTTTCATCATGCTGCGCTTTGGGCTCTATCGCATATTATGTCCTCGTGTGAACCTGAGTCTGCCTCAGGCACACGTGATGCCGCAGACAACTTGACAGGTAGCAAGGCCCTGCTGCGCGTCCTCCCAGGCCTGCGTCCTGTAGGGGCGGCCCTGCCTGTGTGCCGGGGGGGTTCTCATTTGTAGTATTTCCACTGTGGTGCAGAGCAAAATACCTGGAGCTGTGTATGCTTTTTCCATTGTAGTATTTAGCTAAGATACTAAATCTCGTGAGAATGAAACATACCAAGGAAGCAAGTCCTAGAAGCCCTCAGTTCTGAGATTTTCTTTTTTTTATTCAAAAATTGGTAGAATTGTAGTGAAGTGAGTATCCTCCACACAGCTCCAATATCTTCCTACTAAGGTAGTGAGTTTTGGAAAGGCAGGTGAGGGAGATTTCTTAGATATATGTAGATTAAACATTCTATTCTTGCTTCCCCCCCATCCTTCAAAAAAAAATATCTTTGGAGGAAGGAGTTTCCCTTTATTCCCCAGGGTTTATCATGAGTTTGATGCACTTTTTTTTTCTTTTTAGATGTGAAAGTCTGATTTTTGTGATATCCTAATGATGTAATTAATTATGGATATAGATATAGATAGATGTGTGTGTGTGTATATATATCTCACAAAGGAATTTCTATGAATGGTCTGATTGAAAGCACAAAAATTACAAAAACCATGAATGAAATTAGTACCTGTTTGGTTGGACAGGCCTGAAGAGGATTGTAAAAGGGCCAAAAATGAAATGAAAGTAGGAATTATGGGAGATAAGTAAACACAAAAGTTCTTTTCTTCTAGTGATTTTCTCCAAACGCTGAAGGCTTAGAACTTTCTTTCTTAATGACTATCGAGGGGACAGGTACGCGATTCCCTGTCTTGGGCTGTTGTGGCGGGAGACTCCTGTGTGAAGCTGGGGCCCCAAAGGACTACTCCTTTAGGGAGAGAGTAAATCAGCACAAGAAACATGCTCGCCGTGTTACAGACCTAAAAACAGAAGAGCTTGAATCTCCAACTCCAAAGCCAAACTCTGTTAGGTTGCCTCCCTGCCGTAGGCGTTAGTCACTATAAGGAGGCGGTTTCAGGATTGAGGGGAACAAAGTCAGTCCTGGTTGAGGTAGGCAGGAAATACTTCTTAGGTGTTTGAGCTAAACCTTGAAAAAAACATAGGATTTTAACAAGCAGAGAATGTTGCAGGTGCAGGGAACAGCGGGAGCAAAGGGCACAGTGGGGCCTGTGGCGGCGGTGAGCCGGTGACGCCCTCGGTGGGACCATACAACTCCGTATGGCAAGTGTGCCATCGCCTCGTGTTCAGAACTGTATGTACAGGATTGCTTTTGCTTTCGGCTTCTAGGAATACTTGCTGAAGCATTTGCACTTTGAGGGATAATTTTATGCAAGTAGCATAGTTTCAGAAGATCCCCTCCTTTTCTGCATGGATATCTATTTTGTGGCCTCTTAACATTAAAATTGAACTGTTGTGGCCTCAATTTTGGAAAGGTTTTACTTGCCACAACTGTTCTTTCTCTGACAATGTCTGTCACAAATGCCCTGTTACTTATGTCTGTGAGTAGAGACTCCTGCGTGCACGGCACTGGCCCATTGTGCTAAGAGGTCACGGCACATACCCCACAAGCCCTGCTCTTTAAAAGAATATAGAGATGAGTGGGGGAGGATGGGAATAAGATCTACTAAAGAATTAGTGGATGATAAAACAATTTTATTGAGCAAGAGCAACTTGAAATATATGGTGAAAGAAAGAGAGGGAGGGGAGAGTGTTTCACATGGTAGAGTGAAAACATAAAAGTGTAGAGATTCCAAAAATAGCTTGGGAGTGGGAGGGAGGAATAAAAACAGCTTTATAAATGACCTAAGTACATGTGGGATGTGTGTGTGTATACAAATGTGCATTCAAATTTTAGGTACCAGAGCAAAAATGGCATGTCCCCGAAAGATACTAAGCACATGCAGCCCATAGGATGTTAGGGATTGAATCACATCAGCGGTTCCCACAGGAGTAAAATAGTGAGGAACAAACAGCTGTCTCGGCGGTTGCACTGCTGTGGAACCATCGTTTCTTGTGCCCTTCGAAACAGGAGGCTTCAGCCTGCCTCTTCGGGACGCTCCAGAGAGCAAGGTCATCTAGCTTGATTCAAAGATTGTGTTCTGCAACTACATACAGTGAGCTGTCAGGTTATTTTACTTGTGTTTTAATGTTACGGCTATTCGCGGTTTGGCATTCATTTAATAAGCACTGAGTCTTCACTACAAGCTAAGTCCCAAAAACAAGATTCATTCATTCATTCAACAGAAAGCTTCTAATGGGCCTGCTTTGGGTCAGGCACTGTACTTGGTACTGAGGATTCCATGAGGAAAGAAGGGAAACATATCCCTGTGCCCGTGCAGCTTATGGTCTTATAGGGAGAATGAAATTTAAGAAACCATTACGAATAAAACTGCCCTCCCCATTGTGGAGAGTGCTGTGAATGAAAGAATGCTAAAGGAGAGAGGAAAGGGACCCCAGCTTTTCGTTAGGTGGTTAGGGGAGGCCTCTCAGGAAAAGTGAGGTTGGTGCTGAAGTCTGAAGGATGAAGACTTAGCCAGAGCTTAGACAGGAGGGCGTTGTGGGCCTGGGCAGAGAGAGAGAGAGGTCTTGCTGCCCTAAAGCAGGAGCTGATGAAGTAATGGATAAGAAGAGCTAGTTGGCATGAGGAGAAGATCTTTATACAGTGAATGGATTCAGAAAAAAATGCCTATAAGTTCTTGATGTTACCAATTTTGTGGGGCAGTGAAAATAAAAGTATTGTAAGTTACTTCTAGAACCTTAAGCCCAATGAACATAAATAATTGATATAAAATGCAGGAATAATCACATTTAGAAAATTGTAGGTTTTCAGTTTAGTCAGTGTTTTATAACATTTTAATATGGTAAATATACTGTTTTTTTTTTAATTCTGTCTTTTGAAGATTATCATATAGAAACCAGCTTTTGAAAGACTGATCTTTTTCCTAGACACTTAATGGTTTTTTAATTGTGAAAATACAAACAGGAAAAGAGAAGAGTATAATGACTCACTTATACCTGTAACCTTAATACAAAAATTAATGTTTTTCCATTGCTTTATTTTTGGCTGAAGTATTTTAAAAACATGACATTTTCTCCCAAACACATAAATATGCATTTCTAAAAAATACAGACATTTTCCTGTATAACCATAAAACCATTATCAGCTATAAAAATAGAATTCACAAGAATTCCTTAATATGATCTAACCCACTCCTTATACAGGTTTCCCCAATGATTCCCAACAAGGTCCACGTAATACATTTAGTTGAATCACATTTTTTTTGTTCTCAGTATAAAATAGTTTCCTTAACAATTCCATTTTTTATTTTCCCTGTATATTTTCTTGTTGAAAACAGAAGGTTATCTGTTTACTGTCCTATTTTTAGAACTTGTCTGAGTTCTAAATGTCCTCTTTCCCTGGATTTCCTGTAAACTAGGAATTCAGTCTAAAAACTTGATTACATTCAGATTAGGTATTTATTATTATTTTCTTCAATAACAGAGAAATACAAGAAAAGTTCCTGTATTTTTACTTCCAGGAGAACTTCAGTTTCTTCCCTCCCCACTCACAAGAGCTGAGTATAAAATGCAAACAGTGCAGAAAGGTGCAACACATTCAGAGCTTCGCCTTACAGCTCCTAAAATCCACTACTGATGATTGTCATTTTCATATGAAAGCATTATGTGTTCACCAACATGCTTTATATTACATGTCAAAGGGTGATTTTTTTTTTTAAATCACCTTAAAGGTAACTTAAAAACAACCTTTTGGAACTAAATGGATTACTACAGCTTTCTAGATAATGTTCCATTACTGAACTTGTAACTTCCAAAAGGATGTCTTTTAAATGTAATTCTCAGATGATTCCAACTGCTAATTTTTTCATTTTGTTGCCATTGAACTACACAATTCGACCCCTTCGCTTGGAGACCCCACACAGACAGCCCAGGAAACCGATGACTATCTGACTGAGCCCGAACAGGAGCTCAAGGCTCCCCACGAGCAGCAGACCCACAAATACTGAGAAGTGGATGGTCTTGTATCTCTCTTCTTTAGACCTGGAGGGCAAGGTGCCGTTTCTCCAGTCACTTGCCACAGTGTCATTCATGGTGGAAGAATTCAGATCATTCGGAAGTACGCAAGATCCTTTGGCATACCAGTCTAGGTTGAAGGAGTCTGAGTGAATGCTCCTAGGAAAATGAAAGAAAAGATATTCGTGAGCATCACTGTCCATCGGAAGAAGGCAACATTGTGCCCAGGAAAGGGTAAGTACAGTAAAACAACGTGCTTTTGAGATTGCTGTGCCCAGAAATTACAGTTAAGATGAGGGTTTCTGAGCACGTGTCCATGTACTCTAATAGGTGTGAAACTTTTTGTTCAAACTTTTCCTATGTCAGAAGTGATTGACTATCAATTGCATGCGGTTCGGCCTATCTATGCAGATGCTCTTCTACTTGCTGAAGATATGAAAATAAAGGCGCTCTCCCCTTTGAAGGAGCTTGATTCTTAGTGCAAAACCACAGTGTTGCATCTGTTTTTAAACCAGGGGTACCATATTTACTCAGAAAACACATGTTAAATATGTCTAATGAAAGTGATGTGCCCATGGAAGAAGGAATGGGAAATGACTCTTCACCCCGACACATCCGTCCTGAGAGGATTTTTCTGTGGTTTACTACATCGTAGGACTAAGGGTTCTTGGAGAGTGTTCATTTCGGGTACCCGCAACTGCAGTTCAACCTGGGAAAACAAGTGTTTGAGCACATGGAACACACGAGTGCTTCTCGCTGTTCACAGCATGCCTAGGACCACTGTCTTGTAACTGTCTGCATTCTGTGACTATCTCCCCAACGAGAGTGGGAATACCTTGCGTTCTGTTAACTCCAGATACCTGGTGACTAATAGGTGATGAATTGTCATCTGCCAAGGACTGAATGTGTGTATATCATCTGTGGATGAAATCTCTTAATTTTATGCTTCAGATCTGTTAGTAAAGAGAACATCTTTGGTTTTGATTCGTAACAACTGTGGTATGAAAACATACCAGCTGCTGTGTCAGACAATCAGTGAAAGTCAGGTTACTTACCCTAACTTGTCTAAGGAAAATTCACAACTGGAGGTACTGTTGTCTGGGGAGTGACAAATGAGAGGACCATTCAGGACAGCCTGTGCCGACACCAGCATGCAGTACACAGCGCCGACGACTGTGAATGCGTTCAGGAGTGAGGAGAGACACATCTGAAAAATAAAAAAGGAAGTAGGTGCATTTGCACTTGTCGTCACATGCTCTTGATCTGTTTCAAGTTTCAGCATCACCATCTATTGTTGCCCTTCTCCAGCCACTTTATAGCTTGAGATGTTAAGATCCCAGTTTGATTAGATGTGACTTACAAAAGAAGACAGAGGGCATAGTCTCTACCATATAATTAGACCTACAGGTGCTGAAAATTCTGAACCTTGTCCATTTCAACTGGACAGTGAGGCCTGGTTCCTCCATTCTGTGTACTTCCCGGCTTCACAGAACCTTGAGTCGACCTTAGCTCCCCACATTGGGATGTCTGCGCTCTTGACTCCTAAATCTTTCTTCTGCATTTGGCCCTGATCTTGTGCGTGGCCAGTGGTCGGCATTTGGCAGTGAGCCATCCACAGCGTGGTGGTAGAACAGGGCTTTTCAGTCTCAGTACTGCTGCCATTTGGGCATTTTGCTGCTGGGATTTTCCTGTGCGTTGTCCAATGTCTACCAGCGTTTCTGGTCTCCAGCCACTAGATGCCAGCACACACACACACACACACACACGTACGTGCGCGTGCACGTACGTGTGCGCGCGCACACACACACACACACAGAGCTGTGGCAACCAGAAATGTGGCTAGATATTGCCAAATGTTTCCTGGTGGGGGCAGGGGACAGGAGGTACAAAACTGCTGATTTTGGTATGACACCATCACTGTCAGAGGGGAAGATTGTAAGCATCTAATAAGAATCCTTCATTTCATGAATCAGAGTCATGGGGGAAAAAAAAGCAAGCGACTTGGCAATAGGAAATGTTATAGCTCAAATGAAAGTTGGTGTGTGTGTGCTATGTTTTCCAAGAAGAAGCTCTGTGTTGTTTCAATGAAGTGTTTTATTAATCAGTGTTAACTGTGACTATTTTAAATGTGCAGAAATGAAGGGAAGGAGAACTTTTCTTTTGGAGGGATAATATTGTAGCTCTAGAGGGTTCACATGGTATATTCTTCACACCTGCCTTTAATGTGTAAGCAGAATAAACAGCTGCATAAATAGCATATGTTAAAGGAACCCAGGCTTTACTATCTTTTTCGTAGCCCCAAGAGATGGATACTATTATTCCCATCTTATGGATGAGAAAACTGCAGTTCAAGGAGGTTGATAAGGTTTCAGGGCCTCACAGCTGGTAAACACTAGTGCTCAAGGTCTAATCCCTAAACGACACTTCTTCCAGCAGAAAGTACAGAATGATGAATTTGGAGTGTAATTGAAATCCTGACACCCCTGCCCTACCATGGCCTGTGCAAGTTACTTAAATTTGCTCACCAAGAAGTGCCTCTGTGTTTACATTTTGGTCATCTATCATTTCTGACTTCTCATCACTACAGAAAGGCCTGGCTTCAGAAAGTTATTCGAAGATCTGTATTTCCCTTAGATTTGGGTTTCATATAAATGCATCAGCCAAACCAAAGTATTCAGAAACAAAATCAGTAAGTGGATGAGGGGGAAGAGCAGGGAAGGGGAAATAGCAGAAAGAGCTAAAATAGGGGGAAAGTCTTGGTCGATGATCTCTTCCCTTTGCCACTTTTCCAACATTTTGGTCTTATCTCTAACTTGAAAGATACCAAGTATGATTTTAACAGCAGTCTGCATATTGCTGGTGAGGAAAGTGGCTAAAAACTCTTTATTGCACCTAATAGGTATAAACTGGTGACTTAATAGCCAGTACCACTGGCTATTAATAGAGCATGAACAGTATTATTTGGTGCCCTCTACCCTCGGCCAGTGAGCCAATCCCAACACCTGCATGGAAAAGTGGTTTGGTTATTCTCAACTCATTGTGTCCTCAATGGAGAGAGAAACATGGTCACTGAAAAGATGACAAATTTGTCATAAAAGGGCATGTGTGGGGGGGGAGGCAGAAGAGATAAGGCGAGACAAAAATATATATGATATTTTCCAGTTTGGGAATTCAGAAATATGCCACACTATCTCAAGAATGTTGTGAGTACAATCTAGAGGTAATACAAAGTCAAACCCCAAATGATGATAGCTTAAAAAGGAAAGTGCAGGGAGGGGAAACGGAAATCTGAGATTTATGGAGTACCTCCAAAATCTCAGGAACACAGATAGACTATAAACAATCAGCAAAATAGTTGCAATCCTAAATAGCAAATAGTTACAATCCTAGGTAAATAGGAAATGACGAAAGGATAATTTTTTAAAATGAATTTTCTAACTGCTATCAATATAAATGTGTGAAACGGATCCAAATACGCACCTCTTCCAACAGTGGTTCTCACTCAGGGAGCACATTAGAATCATCCGTGGTGTTCTTGAAGAACACTGATGCAGAATCCCGGGGGGTGGGGCAGGGAGGCGGAGGCGTGGCATTGGTATTTTTAAGATCTTCCCCAGTGAGTCTAATGTCCCCATCAGGCCGAGAACCATTGCTTTCAAACCTCAAGCTCAGCCAGGAATTTACTGTGGCTGCTCATTTATTGATTTCTTCCCCGTTCCTTAGACAATTAGGAGAGCCCTCAGAATTATTAATAACAGTGTTCATGCCATCAATAATGTAATGTCTATGAATTTGGGAGCCTTATGGATTTAGGTAAAAATTCATTTACTAGATGTGCTACTTTACTAGGAAAGCAAGTTACTTGCTTTCTCTAGGATCATTTTCTCGGTCAGTAAGACAGGTTACAGTTCCTTCCCACTTAAGGGTTTTGAGAGAATTAAATAAGATACTAAACTTGATTGTGCTCTGAGCATATTGACAGAAGGTTAATAAGTATGAATTTTTATTACTTTCAACTTAGTTACTTAGTTAAAATTTTATTCATGGTAGGTGTGTGCTGTTAACTAATCTCTTCCTTAATTTAACCAAATTAGAGCAATTATCATTCCGAGCCTAGCAAACTAATCTTTCAGATTCATGAGAGTACTGAGGATACATTTTTCTTTAAGTATTTGTATACAGCACAAAAATAACAAGCATTTTGTTATTATGAAATTGATTTAAGCACCGAGTGTGATTTATAAATCTCCGTTCTTTGAAGACCTTTAGATAGGTAAAATTGAAGATTGAGGCGAGGTCTGAGAAATTTTCTGGAAAAACAAAAAGCCTCCTGTTTCTGTGTTATCATGCAATAACCCTAAGAGGACCTTTCTAAGCCTATGGTCCTGCCAAGGGAACCATACAGTGATTCGGAAGCCACCGAAGACCCAGGGTGGCTTGGCTTTGCTGCCCTAACTGCCATGTGCTTGTCCCAGCCTCGCCGCCCCATACTCACTCCGCCTCTGTTGTTGCAGCACGCTCTTTTTCTTGCGGCCAAGGACATCGTTGCTGCTGGAACGACCTGGAAGTGGCATCAACAGGAAAGATGAGCCTTACTACTTCTCATCAGATGTAAAAGCATTAACCTCTGCCCTCTATTTACCAGCAGTCATGGGAAATCAAGGTTCAGGAGAATGAGAGGGGAATCTGGCAATGACCTTGCTCTTTGATCCCCATTTCAACGACAGAGATGAAAGAGTGGGGACGGATGGGGGATTCCTGGAAGGTGCTTTCCCACTCGTCCATCGACATTATTTTACTCGGAGTCATCTTTAGAGAGACTTGGACTGTAAATCAAGTGAGCTATTTATTCATTATCTTGGGAGGAATGTTTCTGAAAAAATGGGTTGCATCATCCAAAATTCACTTTGTTGTTGTTGTTGTTGTTGTTGTTGTTACTGTAATCTGCAGCCACCATCCAATTTCCCAAAAACTGTCTGAATCTGGCAAGCATCCAGAAAGGAAATGATGGCTTTATCTGCCTGGCAGTTGGGAACTAAGAATTTGGTCCCCGTCCCTTTCCCTCTTCCCTGAATTCCCTCTCACTCCCAGGCTCACCGCTGTCTCATTGTGCCCCAGCTTAGGGTTCCGGAAATATTCCTGGTTCCACATCCTCCTTTCTTCTCCTTGACCCATGATATGTAATGACTTTTCTTTATGTCAGTGTTCAGAAATCTCGTACACACTGCGTTCTGCATCAAAGTGAACACGTGTTGCTAAGGGAAGCCGTAGGAAACATCACATTCTTAGGGCTTGGGTTTAAATTTTTAGTCCTATCTAGTCAGCTGACTAGAAATTCTTACTGGATGAAGTTTTGTATCGTTGAAGAGTAGACTGTAAATAACTTCCTTCCACTTAAGAACTTTAGCCAGAAGGATTTTTTTTGCCACCTCAGCACAGCTGTCATTGAGTAATTCTTTCCTTCCACTCCTGTACTCTAACATTTTATTGAATGCGTACCACATCCCAGCCACTGTTGTAGGTGCTGTGCATGTTTTGGTTCATCCCAGCCTCAACCGCCCTGCAAGGTAAGTGCCAATATTATACTCATTTTACAATGAGAAAACTGAGGCATAGAAAGTTTGAGTTACATCTCTAAGAAAGTGGAGGCATTTGGTACTCATACGCTCTACAGCCTTCTGAGCTTAAGGAACTAATCATTTAGAATGGGACCTGGCAAACTATGGCACACCACTTTGTCATAAATGAAGTTTTAGTAGAACACAGCCATGCCTGCCCATTCACTTGTACTGTCTATGACTGCTCTCTCGCACGAGCATCGCAGCTGAACGGTCATGAGATTGGCTCTCAAAGCCTAAAATAGTCATGATCTCGTTCTTTACAGAAATAAATTTGTCAACTACTGATTTAGAATATTAACAAATCTGTTAGAAGAAAGACCAACATTAAATGACAGCTTAAATGGATATATCATTCCATTTTACTTATTGATGTCAATTAAGCTCTGCTGACTTTCTTTAAGATTAATTTATTTCAGAGATGCTGAGTATTTACTTGTATAGTTCCCTTCCCTTGCAAAGGGTTTTATAAAGTAGCAATAACTGATGAATCCCCGCCCAGGTGACTTCATGAACTGTTAACACATCTTTGTTACAACATAACTCACTATTTTCCAACTGTTTTGCCAATTCAGAGCTTTAGAAATTGGAGGGGCTCTTTAGTGGATGGTCATCAAAATGTGAGAAAGTGTGTAGGTATATGTGTGACTGAATTATAACTCTTCCAGGTAATCTGTCAAAATGAGTAATTAGGAGAATACTCTTTCCCTTTAATTCCTTAGCACATTAGAATGCATAAGAGTAGTTCTGAAACAAACAGTCTTGATAGTCATTTGTTTTTATAAAGAAGTAGTATTGTTCCTTCTTCCGACAGAAACCCACACATACTTTTTTTATTCAGTTTTAGAAGGAAGGTATATAATGTACAAGTGAAGTACAGAAGAGCTGTAGACCATTGAAACTCTGTGACAGAATTCAAATTTTTAGGGACCCTCTAAGTACTTGAACAGGAGAGCAGCAAAGCTATAGCTCATCACAAATATAGAAACTATTTTGCAAATGCTTGTTATACAGACATCCAATTTGTTTAATGTGCAACAGTTCTCCCTAAGTCTTTAATAATTGATAAATTACAATTGTGTAATAAGTGAACTCAATGAGTAATAAGCATGACTAAGATCAGGCTTACAGTTAAATTGTATAAACTGGCCTTAGAACAGGGGTAGGGAAAAGTAGGTTTACAGCTGTGAGTACGTGAAACAGTTTATTCTTGTATTATTCATTAATTACTGTATTATTTATATGTACTACAACTGTAACTCTACTTTAGCCCACCCCTGTAATTTTTTAGAAGAAACATTTTAAATCGTTTTTTAGTGCTTAGAAAAATATTATCTATTGATTTTTTTCATTTAGCATAAAATAGTTGAAGATAATTACATAACACTCTGAGTCATGATTTCAAAAGATAAAAAGTTTCACCTTCGTTGTTGGTAAATCATAAAAATATATGATGAGTGTATTTTATGAAGTAATCAACAACTCCATAGGTATTATTTGCTACTTCCTGCAAAACCTTTTTTTGAAGCAATACTAACTTAAAATGTTAAAGCAATTTTGGGAAGATTTCAAGAACTGTGGCAAAAGTGCTTATCAACGACAGTGATTTCTTCTTTATTAACTTTCCTGTGTATTAACAAGTATAGTGAGAGTTCAGTATTTTGAACTAGTCAGTATTTTGACAGGTATTGGAAAGGATACAATTCTCTTTGAAATATGTATTCTTCCACATTATACATATAGCCCCCCATATATATATGTATGGCTGAGAACCGGGAAAATAGACCTGTATTTATAGCCCTTCTATCACCCACCTGTTTGCCTGTTAACCTAGTCTCGAGGCTGAGCTTTAAACTATAAAGCACCTATTGAACTTTTTCAAGAGTTGTTTGATACTTTGATGACATTGTACCATACTGAGGTAGGGATAGCCTTATGCAACACTCTTCGTATTTACTGAAGGCAATAAAGTGCATTTACAGAACAAGGAAGTCCAGATTCTCTGAAACTGTTTCACAGGTTCATATAAATTTTCTGTGCTTCAGTTTCCTGGTGGCTTCAGTTTATGGATTACGTCATCGGTTGCACCATCCCCCGCTGGCAGCCCGATAAAGGTGTTGTGGATTCCAGTGCTGATACTGGTGGAAAACAACTTTGGAGTCAGATAAATCTGGAATTGGGTTTCACAACTATTCTGTGACCTTGTGAATGTTCCTCACTTCTGTTTGCTTGTCTCTTAAAATACAGTTGATAATATCTACTCAGCCAGATTATTATAGAGAGTAAACGAGATGACAGTGTAAGGCATGAGCCCAGTCGTTGGCACTCCTCAGTGGGCTTTCTCCGTGTCTTCCGGCTTGTCTTTCTCCTTCCCCATCCTCTGCTCGCCAAAAGGAGGATACATGGAATGTATTGTGCCATCATCAGCTCCAGACCCTTTAATACTAGCAAGGGTTTTTTCTTTTTTTATTGTGATGGACTTTGAGGTAGAGTCAATTTATATCTAAAGCTACACGTTATTCTATGTGGATTTTAACGTAGGAACTTCAAGGAGCTTCCTGGAAATTACCATTGTTGATAAGTCTTTGCCAGCTGGTCCTGGCTTCTGGCTCAAGTTGATGCAAAGGAAACTCACATTATTCAATAGAGAGAAGCCTTTAGAAGGACGGAAACAGACACAGAGAGTTGCAGTTGCATCACTTTGTTGAGCACTGTGCTCGCTCTCAATCTGCAAGAGCATGTTCAAGGCTATTTGAAGAAATAGCCCACAAGTTTCCAAAGGTTTTCCTTTAGGTAGCTCTTTCTACCTAAGGCATGAATACATTGCTCACAGTGTTAAAGGAAAAGAAGCCATTGACTTTTGGGGAATGCTTCCTTGAGAGGCTTTTTGAAGCCCCAGCAATCTCAAGTCCAGTGTGCCCACCAACAGACAAGTCTTTATCTAAAGTTGAGTGCGTAATGACTCAAGGGTGCATTCATGTAAGTTTGGGGATCAGACCAGCAGCAGTAACAAATCAGCATTAAGGATTTGGGATGCAGGTAGAAAAAACTGTGTCCAATTTTTCTTTAAAAATCACCTTCGTGTTTCAGCATCTCTAAAACACTTAGCTAATATCGGTGATTGAACTGTCACACACACGCACACACATCAACAAACTCATTTCTCCGACATTAACCAGGCCCCATTAGACAGCGCCCAAGTGGTAGCACAAACAAAAGTAAGCCTCTTGAATGCTGAATTCCCAGACTTCAAAATCCACGTCCCCGTTTTATAAAGATGGAAACAAAATCATAGGGTAAATGACTTTCAAACAGTAATATATTGGAAACAGAACTAGAGCCGAGACACTCTGCCAGGGCCAAAAAGAGTATTTATTCCTCTGCACAGGTCGGTCCTGCCCAGGCCTGCTTCATCAGAATTCCCACGAGCAGGTCTGTAAATCTATTACAAGTGCCTCGGGTAATTCATGATCAGGTACCCTGGGGAGTTCTGTATTACAGACACTGCTCTGCGGCAGATGTCAACAAACATAGCCCTATGAATAATCATCAAAGTTGGCATTAAACAAGCACGCGATGCCCTGGGCCCTGTGTAAGATCTGAGTCAAGGAGTCACTGAGGTCAGAGAGCCAGGGTTTCAGGTCCCAAACCCCTTGGGCCAACTATGCCATGCAATTATCATCATCCGGGATGTGCATCGCTCATGGAATGTTTCTTCCCATTCTTATTGAGCACTTCCCTCTCCTACCATAGTCCCTGCGAGTACCTTGAGCATGGTATTGGCAAAGGAAATTGGAGGGAATTGATTTGAAAGGTCCTTAACACTAACTATAAAGCTTGAAGGAGCAGCCCTACATGTAAAGAAATGTGGTAGGTAATAATCCAACCAACTTTTCTCAATTCAACATGTTTTTGCCAAAGCTCCCCAGCATGTACCACATATTTAACTTATTTAAGTTGTCATTCCTCACTGATAACCAATAAATACCATACCACCACCCCTCACTGTATCTTAAGTCAAGACATATGTCACAACAAAACTAAAAGATCGTCATTAGGCGTTTGGCAAATTAGGGCTTTCTCCATATCAAGTCAAATAATTGTTACTCACCATCAGACCTGCTCCTATAATTCCTGGGAACCACCACTCAAAGCAAGAGATGGGGTTTTGAAGAAATTTGCCTTCATCAAGTCTATTGACAATTAGAGGTATTACATTGAGAACTACTCCCAACAGAAGTAGAACCAGCAGGCTGAACCCATTGCAGGATGTCCATCCTTCACAGCAAGTCATGGTCACCCCCGGTTCAGTTAGAAATGCTCTTAAAGTGGCTCTCTGTGTGCCACTGGATTGTCTTTTATCCTGAGCCTTGTAACCTAGTTAAAGATTAGCACTTTAGAAAATTAATTTTGGAAATTAGTTCAGAGTCCAAGAAGGAAGTTCTTATGAGAACAGGAAGTAAGAATAAGTTTGCATTATGATCAGGTGGGGAAAGGAAGGCGGGGAAAAGTCTCTGGTTTCTGTTAGGTAAATTTATGCGTGAAAATAGGCAGGCGGAAACTAAGAACAAAGAATGGATTTAAGAGATGCTCCTCTTAATATATTTTATTAGTGTATCATAAAAATGAAAGGAAGAATATCCAGTTAATATAAACTATATTTTCCTGTTGTATTGACATTATTGCCAGCTATTGAGATTCCATACTTTGAAATTGTCTAACCTATATATATATGTATGTATATGAATGATTGGGAAAAAAATATTTTCCCTGCTACAAATGTTGTTGATTAGTCAAAATTTTAGGGAATACACAAAATTTAAAATATTCTGATGTCATATTATCCCAGTCTTGTAGACTTAGAGGTAACCCCATTGAGACTTGTGTGAGATTTGATTAATGCCACTAAAGTGCCCAAGTATGGGGACCAGAATGGACAGAGGAATAGAGGAGAGACTGAAGGAGAGATCATCATGTTTTATTTTCTTCGAACTTTTTTTTTTGAGAGAAAGAAGGAGAAAGAGAGGGAGGGAAACATCGATGTGAGAGAGAGACATCGGTCAGTAGCTTTTTATATGCACCCTGACCAGGAACCAAACCCACAACTCAGTCATGTACCCTGACCGGAATTGAAGCTGTGACCTCTTGGTTTGCACGATGATGCAAAACCAACTGAGCCACACTGGCCATGGCTCTTTAAACCTTCAGCACTTACTTGGTCATGAACAGCACATTTCTGGACCAGGTTTCCCTATTGTCTTTCTACTAGTTTCTGAGCTTCTCAAGAAAAGGTCTGTTGGTGGCATAGGCTTTAAAACACAAAAGTCCTCACTTGTGCTAATTGATCATCATGAATCGACAAAGGGGCTCTGCTCCTGGTGGTCACTGAGCACCCCGTACTCACAGAGGCGCCAGTCGTCTCTATTCTGGCTTCCACAGTTGTGGAAGCAGAGTAGAAAGATGTGATGAGCCACATGCTAAGTCTGAACATTGGTACCAAATGGATTAGAAGTATCCCGCCCATCCCCATAGCATACAACCCTCTGAAAATGGCTGACAAAACACCACACAGAACACTCCATTACAGAGCGCTGAGCGAAGGGAGGTACTTCTATTCTATGATTTGTATACTTTTCTGCATGGTGAGGTTTCTAGAACAAGGAGGTATTTGTTTTAATAGAAGCTAATTAAAAATCACCCTCCCAATGGGTTATGGAAGTTATATGATTATGTAGGTTACAATATTATACAAATAAATTCTAGATTACCGAGTTGACTGCATGTGAAGAGGTAGTCGCCAGTTTTAGGATGCAGGTTCTGCAGTTGTAAATCCCTTTCCTTTACAAAGTGTTGAATTAAAGAACTGTTTAGATATCAGTTTATTTATAGGGACCTGAACTGCTTGGACTCTACCTGACTTTGAGAACAAAGTCTGATTTCTATACTCTTTGCTGGAAGATGAAAACTAGTAAGTAGCATACTTTGTTAGAGGTCATAACACAACTTAATTTACTTGGGCTTGGTACTTCTTTGCACTTGTAACTAAAAGGAAGTATCTGAAGAACTGTGCAAAAATGTAGAAACATAGTCTACAAATGTAGACATGTTCTTTACGAAAGGGATAATATTTAAGGATAAAGCTGAAAAGGGAATTAGCTTATAACTGAAGAGGAGTATAGTCGACAACTCTTTCCAACCTGTATGTCTCCTGCAAAAACAACCCCACTGACATGAGTAGACCTACATTTCCTTTGTACTATGGAACCTTGCTCCCTGGCTGTTGCTAATTTGAATACAGGAAGCTACAGAAGCCAGCTCTTTCATTCTCTCCCTGGAGCTTGAAAAGAGGCACTAGTTATTCTCTGCTACACATGAAATGGGAGGACATGGATATCAATTAGGATTGGGCTTTAGCTGCATGTGAATAGAAATTCAAAATTGAAATGGCTTAGAGAAGATAGAAATGTAGTTCTTTACACAAAGAAATCTGGAGGAAGGTAGTCAAGAGCCTGAATGACAGCTCCACCTCCTCAAGGACCCTTCCAGTCTGTGGACCCTCTATCTTTTTAATCTCTTCATGCTCATGATCCAAATAGGGTGGCCAAGGCTCCAACCGTAGAATCTGCTCTCCACTCAGAAGGATAAAGAGAAAGGCCCACCTTCTTCCTTTTAAAAGAGCCATCTCATTAGCTAGAAGGTAGCCATGTGACAACATTTAACTGCAAGGGAGTCTGGGAATAATGTATTTATTTCAGGTGATGTGTGCCCAGTTAAAATGGGGAGAGGGGTAGGAGACAGAGGGTGCTGGGTAGGCAACCTGCAGTCTCTACCATATCATATAAATTAATGAGCTATGCCAAGAGAAACAGAGAAATCTGTCTGCAAAAAAGGAGAAGGAGGAGTTGGAGAAGATGCAGATGTGCAGAAAGAAGTGTGAGGACATGTGGTTTTAGAGAAAGGCAGAGAAAGGGTAGCTACCTGGCTGCTCAAAGGCTTTGTATCCTATCGAGTAGGTGACTCCAGGCAGACACCTACTGACTGCAGGTCCTGTCCTTCTTTTCTGTGAGATGCCTTTGTATTCTTACAATAAAGTATCCCTCTTTCACTACTGTAAGTGGGTTTCCATTTGCAAACAAAAATGCTAAAACTGAAAGTTACAAAAAGCATGCAAAGAACTTGTCCCATGCCACACTAAAGCAGCAAGAGACATTCAGGAAAAAGGGAGGATTCTCTCAAGATGGGCAGGAAATGAGGATTCCTCCCTGTTTTTGAGGATGGCTAGAATTTGACACAGAAAGACCGTCAGAAGGGTGTTTTCTCTACCACTGTCAGTTGCAGAAAACCAAAACCCTCCTAGCTACACTAAGTAAAAAGAGAGGTAATTGGGGAATCAAGTATACAAAATCATTAGAAGGGCAGGTGGGGCGGGCCCTAGGCTGGTTCCCAGGAATGCCTTACAGGACACGAATGCGGGATGGCCCAGAGGAGCTGCTGCCGCTTCTGGAGTCCAGGAGGCAGGGAAATTAGGAAGCCACCTCTGCAATGGTCAAGTTTGAGCATACGCCACTGCAGCTACCGTCCAGGAAGCCAGCACCTCCGCTGCTGCTGCTCCTGCCCCTGCACAGGCTCAAGGCTAGAGGCTGGGCTCTGGGACGCTGCCCTTGACTTCTGCTGGCCACCGCATCGCTTGCTTCACTTTTGTGAAACTAACATCTGGACCCAGGAACATCACCACAGTGCAGAAAATTCAACAGCCCCAATCTTCCTTAAACGCAACAGACAAAAGCAGCAGAAAGAGGACCTCCACCTCATTTCTGTCTTCCCTATTTTCAAGGGTGGATCTAATTGTTGCAATATCCAGACCTTGGACATAGAATGTTCTGGGTAATGTAGTTCTCAATCATTCCAGCTTCTGCCCAGCAGAAAGGCATACGAGAAGGACATCAAAATGGATATTAAGCAGGACAATTCACTATAGTGATCTTGTTTAAACTGTATGAAGAAACTTTTTCCCTAAGTTATCTGATATTACCATGTAACAAATTCTTTTAAAATAATTTGATTATGTTTGTATTTCTTACATGTCTTAGATGTCTAGAATGTCTAGACATTGAGACTTACATGTCTAGAATGACATGTAACATTTTAAAAACAAATCTAAATGACCTGTTTAGTTCAAATGAGAACACTTCCAGAGTATTAGAAAAATTTCTTTCTTTAGGGAATAGGAGGGAATTCGTGTATGAGAGAGAATGGGGTCCCAGCCAAGTCTTATCCATTCCATTGGTGAAAACAAGAGGTGACACAGAAGCACCTTGCTTAATCCTCTCCCGCCCCTCCAGGCTCCCTGCACATCGGGGCCCTGGGAGCCGTGCAGGCTGTACTCAAACACTAGGAGCCACATTTCCCACCTCGGTCTAAAGAAGACAGGAGCCCTGCTATCTTCTGCTCAGCCTCTGAGGCTCCACCCCATGAAAGATTCACATGGCCTTAAGGCAGCTCCATCCATGAAGCATGTATGCACCACAGTACCCCGGATAACTACCCAGGAGGAATTTATGTGATAGGAATGGACATGGGACACCCATCCATGCCTTTCTGTCAAGCATCCTCTGCCTAAACATACCCCAGGCAAATTAGTTGAAAGTTTTACTAGAATATAGGCTAATTGCCAAGCAACATTCATGCTTTTACCTTTCATAGTAGAGGATTGTTGGAAGTGTCTGTCAGTCATGGATTGCATTTCCCAGTGCCCCGTGCAGTCAGACTGGACCATGTGACTACTTCTAACCAATAGGAAGTGAAGGAAATAAACTGTGTCGCTTTCCAGCTAAGAATCTTAAAGAGTGATGGGTGTTGTCCACTCTCTTCTTTTCCACTTACATTTTGGAGACAACCAAGCTACCTTGGAAGTTACGTGTAGAAAAATACCCATCAACCTAGATCCCTGAGTGACCGGATGGAGCACACCTCCCCCACCCCTTCCCCTTCCCCTTCTGCCCACCCAGAACAGTGCCAGGTAATTGACATCAATGGGAAATAAGCATCTGTTGTGTTAGGTCGCTGTACATTTTTTTGTCCATTTGTTACAGTAGGTAGCACTACCCCAATAAATTCAGTGTATCCTCTGTCATTTACCTTAGAACCTCCCTGAAGTCTGCAACATTGGCAAACATTAACTCCATCACTCCCACCCTCCTCGGAACAATATCAAAAGCAAATCAAGCCAAAGACAGTGAAACTCTAGTTTTGTTCTGGTGTTTTATTCAGAAATTATATTTAGGAAAATTAAAG